GCCAAGGCCTCGGAGGCGGCGCTGGCGGCGCAGCTCGCGCGGCGGGAGGCCGAGGGGGCCGAGCTGAGGCAGGCCGGACTCCGCGAGGTACGGCAGGCGCTGGCCGACGCGTGCGCCGAGGCTCTGCCGGGGCGTCGTCGGCGCCGCCGCCGTGGGAGCCGCCGTCGCCGCCGCGGCCGTGGCTGCCATCGCTGCCCTCGTCGTCATCGTCGTCTTCGGCGGCGTCTTCGCCGTCAGCGTCGTCGTCGTCGTCCACGGCGGCGTCGTCTTCGGCGCTGCCGCGCGTCGTCGGCGCCGCCGTCCCTCGCTGAAGGCAACAGTTGATGCCCTCAACCAACACATGCCTTCAACGAAAATGCGGTGCCTTCGGCGAGCTGGTCGCCGCCGCCGTCGCCGCCGCCGTTGCTCCCTTTGCTGTCGCTGCCGCCGTCGTCGTCGTCGTCGTCGTCGTCGTCGTCGTCGTCGTCGTCGTCGTCGTCGTCGCTGTCGTCATCGGCGGCGGCGTCATCGTCGTCGTTGTCATTGTCGTCGTCGTCGTTGTTGTCGTCATCGGCGTCATCGGCGCGGTCGGCATCTTCGGCGAGCGTCGTCTTCGGCGACGTCGTCGTCATTGACGACGGCGGCGGAGAGGACGACGACAAGGACGACATGAGGACGGGGAGGGGACGACAGCGACGTCTTCACTTTCGCCGCCGCCATCGTGGTATCGAAATAGGTGCATCTGAATAGTCGGCGTTCCCGCGAAGACAAGATTCGAACTACCTCCTCCCTCGCTCTGTCCGTCCTCCTATCATTGATCTTCTCCCCCATCCAGTCTTACGCCTCTCCAGAGTTCTCTTTCTCTCTTTTTCTCTCGTTATGTTTCTCTCTCTCTCTTTCTCTCTTTTTTTGTTTCTCTCTCTCTCTCTGTCTCTCTCTCTCCCTCTCTCTCTCCCTCTCTCTCTCTCTCTCGCCATACAAACATCTATATCGATGTCTCTCTGTGTGTGCCTGTTAGATTCCTCTGTCTATATTTTTACAAGCCCAGGCGGGGGGAAAACCCGTCACTCCCCCCCCCAAAACCGGACTCCCAAGGTCTGGGGCTTATGGACCCTCCGGACGGGCCTCGAAGCGGCCCCTGGTCTTCGCAGGACGTGGCACGCTCCCGAAACCACCCCGGAGAGCCCCAATACGGTCAACGACGACCCCCGAGAAGCCGTCATACCCCCAAATATCGTCCCGAAACGTCCCAAGAGGCCTCTAAGAGCACTCCCAAGAAGGAAAAAGAAGCATGGAGGAAGGATAACGAATAACATGATTATCGCGGCGATGCCGGAAAATAAGTTATCGCTAAATTGTCGGCTTGATTTTCCTGCTAGTCCGCCTGCATACCAAATTTCAAGGACCAAGGTGCATGGCGCGAAGCGCCACTGCAGTCTTGTATGTCTATACATATATATATATATATATATATATCCCCCGCTCATCCTCCTCAGCCGTGTCCTGTTACTTCTTATCTCACTCCTCCTTTTGCTCCTCCTCCTCCTCCTCCTTCCTCCTCTTGGTCACTACTCCTCCGCTCTGCCCGATGCTCTTCCCCCTCCCCCATCCTTCTGCCCCGCCTGCTCCTCCTCCATCCTTCCTTTCTTCTCCATCTGAGTCCCTCCCTTTTCCTCCTCCTCCTCCTCCTCCTCCTCCTCTCCTCTTCTCCTCCTCCTCTTCTCCGCCTCCTCCTCATCCTCCTCCTCATCCTCCTTCTCCTTCTCTTTCTCCTCTTCCTCCTCCTCCTGCTCCTCCTCCTCCTCCTCCTTCTCCTCCTTCTCCTCCTCCTCCTCCTCCTCCTCCTCCTCCTTCTCCTCCTCCTCCTCCTCCTCCTCCCTCTCTCCTCCTGAACCTTCCGAGTTCATGGGCGAAAACGTAAAGATTGGCGTGCCTTGTGGACCGATGCAGTTGACGATGCCGAGGCCATCACTCATATGCTTCAGCAGCTGCATGGCGAGTCTCGGCGAGATCCCTTGCCTCCATTGGAGTTGGAATATTTGGAGCGAGTGGTTGCCAAGCTTCCTGCGAAAGCCTCAGGCGTCGATGCTCTCACCCCTCGTGATCTTCAAAGGGCCCCTCCCCAAGGTCGGGTCGAGTTTCTTGAGTTGCTTAACCAAGTCGAACATGAAGGAGTTTGGCCAGCGCAGTTGCTTAGCACAATCTGCGCTCTTCTTCCGAAGCCCAACGGAGGGGAGAGGGTCATTGGGCTCCTGGCTGAATCAGCGAAGATTTGGAGCCGCCTGCGCTATGGTGCTACCTCAGAGTGGACTGAGTCTTTGGAGGCGCACTGGGACACGACGCGCCGCTCTTCTGAGGGCTCTACTTGACGAGACGGCGACGGTCCTTGACATCACGGTGGCCACGCTGTTGCTAGATTTTGAGAAGTTTTATGATTCGCTGTCGTGGGTGCTCTTGGGCTGCGCCGCACAGCAGTTGGGGTACCCGCCCATTGTGGTATGCTTGGAAGTGCAGTTATGTGCTGGTTCTCGCTTTCTTCGGGGCCAGAAGGGAGCATCCGACGCCATCCTGCCGACTCGCTCGCTGGTGGCGGGCTCCCCTCACGGGGTGCGGTCGGCCAAGCCCTTTCTGCACCCGCTGCTGCAGCGCGCTCAGGCCAGAGCCGATTTCACGACCTTTTGGACACTCATTGATGAGACCGTGTTGCGCTCAGAAGGACCTCAGGATAAAGTAGAGACTCGCATGGTTGCAGCTGCTACTGATTTCAAGCAGGGTTTGGACACTATGCGTCTGGTGGTTTCTCCTAAGACGGTGCGCATCTCTAATGTGACCCGCCTGGGCAAGAAGCTGGCCAAGAAGCTCCGTCGCAAGGCGGTTCCTGTGCAGTATTGTTTGGAGGCTGTTGATCCGGGTGTTGATGCCACAGGCGGCGGACGAAGGACTGCTCGCAAATCTTCCCAGCGCACGGCCAACGCTGCCCGTCGAGCTGCACGTCTTCTGCGTTTTCGGCGGCATGCACGGCTCCGCAAGGTTTCGCAGGGCCTGTGGAAGACTGGGGCGCTGCCGCAGGCAGCATACGGACATCAAGTCCACGGACTTGCACCATATCAGTTCCTTCGCCTTCGACGGCAAGCGGCGACTGCAGGGGCAGGCCCGTCGAAGGGCAGGTGCTTGACCAGTACGTTAGCCATATTGTATGGTAAAAAAGATCCTGCTTTGGAGCTGAGGCGACAGCTACTGGCGGAGTATCTCACTGTCTGGCGTCTTCACCCTGAACTTCATCAGAGAATTGAAACATCCTGGCCGAAAGTTCTTCGTCGTCTGGAGGTTGCGGGACAGGCAGGGCGCTGGAGATTGGTCAAGGGACCAGTGTCTGCAGTGATCGCCACGTTGCTTGATGCTGGCTGGAAGCCATCCTCAGCTACTTCCTGGTGGCGCCCAGGGCATTGAGGATTTGCTGAGTGGAAGATCCCCACATCATCTTTGGATGTTTTTTTCTGGTGATGAGATGGATGTTGGAGGAGTGCTTGAAGAAGTTATGCTTGATTTTCATGCTCAGCTGTGGTCTCGAGCTTCGGAGCATGAGGAAGCTGAGGACCCCGCTGGAGGGGCTGATCTCTATTGGGCTCGCCGAGAGTTCGCGAAGTTCTCGCAGATCGGGGACTACGACCAGGCTGGCCAGACATTATGTGTGGCCGCGGGAGCGCAGTGGCCGCGCGTGCGCCAGTTCCCGACGGGGACGGAGGAGCAGCAGCGGTGCCCCAGGTGTCTGAAGGCGGCTGGGACTCTGAGGCACAGAGTCTGGGAGTGTGAATGTAATAAGGATCATGAGGATCATTATTTGTCCGCCCCCCTAGTGTCTCAAGCTCTCGTCAATTGCGATATGAATCCTGCCTTGTGGCTTAGAGGTGTTCCCCCGACCAACCATACTCACCCTGAGTTTGTGGGCCCACCCGAAGCGGGGGGTTTAGAATCTCTCGGCTCGACGTCCCTGACCGAATTGTCCTCTGTCGGCCCTGACCTTCTGGTCGTTTTTGGGGACGGCTCGGGGGGGGCGGTTTTCCTCCGACCCTCGGCGCCGCCGTTGTGGCGCGGCTGCGGTTTCTGTCAGGAGAACCCCAGGGACGTCGACGTGGGAAGTGGTCGGGGGTGTTTCTGGAATTTTAGTGGGAAGAACCCAAACGGCCCCCCGCTCTGAATTGTTGGCTTTCGCCTTGTGCCTCGAGGGCACTACTGGCCCCGTTCATTATGTCACGGACCACTTTCCCTTGATTGCCTGTTGGGGGCGGGGTCGGGCTAGCGCGGTGGGCGGGCGGAATTGGGACTTGTGGCTCCGAATTAAGACCGCTCTTGCTTCACGAGGTGAAGGTTTAGTAACCTTGGAGTGGACGGCTCCCCACTTAGACACGGAGGCTGAGGGCCTCACGGCCCGCCAGGTTTTCTTCAGATCTGGAAATCAACTGGCGGACCGAGCGGCCTCAGAGGCCGCGGGGCGGTCTTGGCACCTTTCGGCCCGCACGGACCCTCGAACTGATTTTTGGGATGCTCAGACCGCCCTGATTAGAAGGAGAGCGCGTCGCGCCCTGATCGACTCGTCAGAGGCCGACCCCAGGAAGGCCCGCCCAGCTGCGGCGCCCCTTGGAGAGAGCGAGGCAGGGTTCAAAGTTAGGTCGGGCGCTTCGCGTCTCTCCTCACAAGTTTGTGACTTTCGGCAACGTGTTTCGCTGCAGGAGTTGCGAGGTGCTGTGTGATAAGGATCACCTCTTAGAGGTCTCCAAGGCGCCATGCATCCCTACTGTTGGGGTGGACTCATTCCCCTCGGACGTTGTCGTGGTGGTCCCTGGGCCCGTCGCAGTGTCTGGAGCGGACTTGCATCCATCCCACAAGCTTGCGTTTTGGGATTTGCATTGTCTGTGATTTTGTCAGTTTTGTGGCCGCACGGCGACTTCGGACGGGCGCCAGTTGGCGCTTGAATGCAAAGCGCCCTCTCGCAAGGGCGTTGAAAACCTGGCCAGAATTCG